AACTGTTGACCACCTTTCTTTCTATCAGATCTGCCCGAGTGGACAAAAATCCTCAGACCAACAGGTTGTTATGGTGACGTCTACGCTGACGTCTGATGACGTAAGCACTTCGTGTGCACCTTGGTAACAGGTAAGTTGCCTGTGTCAACATGGCGGCCTGGCGTCACAAGTGACTGACATCACACGCACGACAGAAAAACCCTGACCCAGAAATACACCAGCTCATGCCAAGCATTACAACCCCTAGAAATTCAGCCACATACTATTAGGATCCCTCCATAAAACGTACCTAAAAATCATGCACAATATATAAAAATGATAATAATATTTCTCTTAATTTTCCGCGCGCTATAAGGGGCAAGGTCATGATTTGATAAGTTGTGAGTCATTGTTTAGACAGGAAACAATATCAAGTGGCCTCAATATTGGTCAAAAGCTTATTTGGTTTGATGTCAAGAGTATCAATAACGTGGGAAGTGTTGCTGACTTTGTGACGTAAGTTTTACGTCGGTAGAACGATGGGTCAAGAGAACATACAACACTGCAAATGTCAAGAGTAAGAGTAGGAGTTGAGGGGAAATTCATTTTTAGTAAAACACTTAAAGATTGTCATTATTATTACGTTACGGAAGTATTGTTTTTGGTGTCTGAGTTGCGAACAGAAGGTTGACAACACGTGGGTGGGGGAAGATTGACAAGCAGAGTGACGGTAGGTCACAAGGTATATGTGGGGAATTGGTTTTCGACATGGGGGAATTCAGGAAGCCCAGGATTCCATGCTAGACCAATACTTCCTTTTTTATTCATATACATATAAAAATAAACAGACATAAATAAAGCCTCCGTATTGCATACCAACGTTCCATTTAAATGCTTAGAGATAAATTGATAACAAAATCAGACAAAACAAAAACTCAAGCCTTAAATAAAGCCCCCCACTTGCCCCGGTGTTTCTACAGTTTCCCCCTCCGAGACGCAATGAGATGTTCCAACGTGTGATAAAAGAATACTAACTTTGTAAAGGACTGGAAGACCAATACTTTATAGAAGTAAGAAATTTCCGTTTTCCACAGAGGCACTTCTGATGTATAGTGTTTATCCTTGGGCTTCAAAGTGTCCTTTATATACACGGCACCATAAAACTACTCCGTTGATGATTGAAGACCTCTGTTACCTTGTCCTTTCGGCGTGCCCGTCTCAAGGCCTTCCTCCGAGCGCTTAAAGTCTTGTTTTACGGCTCCACACTGACTGCACTACAGAGGAAGTCATTAGTTTTGAGCCGCCCTCCCAATCCCTGCTTAATGGACTCTTCTGTCTCCCCATCTGCACTTCCGCTTGGTAAAAACCTGGATGTTTTTGACATGTTATGTGGGTGCAGATTCTTTCTTTCAACGTACGCCTGTGTTCCCGATAGCTGGGTCAAAAAGTCATGTTTCGTTTCCGAGAAAGTGGAAAATTTGCATGCAGACTTCGCCTCTGGCCATTCGGTATTTGTGCACATCACATTCCTACATGCATTCCAGGTAAGGCCATGTTGATTTGATTATATGGATGCCATCCTCTGGGAACCCCAAAACCGATGTGAGCGTGCGAATAAAAAAAGTTTGGCTAAAAAGTTGCTTTTATTATGAAACCTACGTGGTTATGAAGGTCGAATAAGTCTTCAAGTTCTTTATATTTTCGTCTTTTTCGTTTGATTTTGGCTTTTACGACATTGGTATCATTTTTCCAATACTTTTTTTAACTTACGGTATATATTTGCTCATTTTGCAACTGTTTGGTACGATTTACAGTATGGTTGAAAACTTTTTTTTGGTAACGGCCGAAAATTCATGCGCGCGGATGTCATCCATATTATCAAATCAACATGGTCTAACTACTAGATAGTCGACACCCAACCAATGCAGGGTAGGATCTAGGAAATCTCGGAGGCGCCCGTTAGTTTGACTGACACAACCTGACCTTAGTCATGCTCCCTTGTTACTGTAATCCTATTGCTACGGAAATAAGTCTGCTAAAATGAGTTTATATCTCCGACTGGATGCGATGATCCCAAATCATAAGTCCCGCCCGTCAGCTTACGTGTTCGCCGCCGAAGATTTAATACCGATCCCGCGGGGCTTTGGCGATACTGTGCTGAAAGCTTTTGATCTTGTATGAATGTGCACTGAGTATCGCGAATCACGTAACTCAACACGCTTCGCGGGTCCAACATCGGCAATATTTCATCGTTAAGTGAGAAGGCGTTTTCGGCCCTGATGTTACAATCCTCTCGCTGATGCCTCCACAACATCCGGGGAATAACCAGACATTTTTCATTCCAATCATTGGTCCAGCGTCACGTGAGTAGACTTCTAAATAACGAACATGAGGTGGAGAATTAATCCCGTAGAAAGTCTGTGCACCACAGCGGGAATATTGGTGATTAAGCGGGTATCTCATGATAAATGACGGTTCTTTGATGACACGGACTTCGGGAGCGTCTCAAATGTCAATATCATTTTGTTAAAAGTACAGCTCAAAACGTTATTCCCTATGTGAGTTTAGAGAGATGACGATTTCTCGGCTGGGACCCCCCCCCCCTTCATAAACCCATCTGTTTAAAGGAAATCTACCCCTTCCTTAGCATGGAAGTTCATCTGAGTTGGTAAAAACAGGGCACATCAACCTTCGCTCAACTGGGACGGGAGGCGGTACCGACTTCCGACGAACTTTGACCCAGTGCTGACGTCGATCACACGCGGGTAAAAGTCACGTGTCTACAGCACTCTGGTCAGAAAGCTAAAGAAGACCGAGTAATTCGGTCGAAAATTCCTGGTGAGTCAATTTTCTTGAGTTGGAGAACAGTTTAATTTTTAATATCTACCCCTTCCCCACATTCCACTTCATGATCGGGATCTTTATACGAGAGAACAAAACAAAAGTACAGCGACTTTCGTAAGATACATTGTTTATGTAGAGTTGATCCACAGGAAAAAATACCCCACCACACACACACACATACACGCAAGTGACAAATAGCCCCTTTGAAAGGTAATTGTCTCCCCAAACGTTGTATCGGTAGAGGGAACCCGCCTCCCTCAATCAACCTGCCACTTCCCGGGGTGAGGTCATACGTCTTCACTTCGGAGGTCAATAGGGAAGTTCATCGTCTTTGTATGGATCAAGTACTAGTATAGGCTGATCAAGGCTTATTTCACAACTAGTGTTGGTCATTCTCTAGGTAGCAATCTCTTTAACTGTTCTAGACAGCTAGTAATCGTTCACGCAGATACAAATGCATATATTACAGCTATATCCATCATACATTTGTAGAATACTGACAAAACACATGAATTGAGCATGAGAAATGAATTCTATCTTCTAGCAAGCCGTCCTAAGGGGATTCAGGTAGCACAATTTGCCACGAATAGGGTACGACTGGCCAGGAGAGTGAGTCCACCGTTAAAGATTCATCTTCATTTTCCCTAATCAGCTAAATGAACAGTACCTTAGCCGAACTCCGCTGGCCAATTATTCTTCCTATTCAGTGGCTAAATTTTGCTGCTTTGAAACCCGCGTTGTTACGTAGTCTGATTGATAGGGACTAATTGAATTCCCTTCCCTTCCTAACTGTATACCCCCCCCCCCCAAGCCAGTTGCGCCCTATTTTCGCCAAATTCCACTACCCTAACCCCCTTCGGAAGGCCTGGTGGAGGCTACCCCTTCCCCCAACCAAAAAGAAATCGCGCAGAAAATGAAGTCATGCACAGACTGATGCACACTCGACAGACCGTAGCCGGCGCCGCTCTAGTTCTCCCCTGTATGCGGGGCGGGTACACCTGTATCACCGGCAGCCTGGCAACACGCATATAACTCTCCCACGTCGCATAGCACAGAAAAAAAGGAGCGGGCAATTCCCTCCGGAAGCAAACAAATAATACGTTATAGCCCAGATCCTGCCGATCTCTTAACCCTCGTAATGGCAGGAGAGTAGGGATTTTAAATGGGCTTGAATGATTTGATGGTTCTAGAAATGTTTTCCGACGAAACATTGTCGCTGTTCCTAATATTCCCATGAAATTAGACAAAATAGACTGCTGTTTGGATATTTGTAAGACGTAAACATAGGAGAACGGTTGTGTACATTAAAAAGATTCCTTGTGACCTTTTCAGGAAGATAGGTCACCCCACATTTCCTCGACAAACTTCAGTGGCACAATGCCAAGTGTAAGAGAACTGAGTAAAGATAACATTCAAGCCGTGAATAAAATGTGCATAGCAAGTGCTAGAAAATGGACACTGTCGCTTGTTAGACTTGTAGGAAAGGAAACAGCAGTTTGTATCCTTTTAAGACTTACATTTTACTCTTGAGTCTTTTCAAATCTGTGACCTTTGCTCTTTGACCTCTCTCTGATTGCCACGATCTTTAATGTACACATTTATATCGCTTCTTGGTATGCATGTTGTAGTTATTATCTTCAATGCCATGTAAACAATAACAATTCCTTATCAAATGGCGCTATGTACGCATGGCTCAAGGTTGTTCACACAGACACACAGACAAAGCCGATGTGCAAGATAAGAGTCAACAAACGTGGTTCAGACTGCATTGGCAGATTTCCCACACTGAATATTGGGACCGGGAGTTGCATAATACATTCTGTACCACGGCGTAGTTGTGCCTACTAGCTACAGTGAAGACCAAACGTTGGAGCATACAAAATCACAAACTGTCAATCTACACACAAGTCCATGATGCGTAACCACTATGCGTTTCTATAGTACACTACTAATGATTGATTATTTTCAAACAGATGGATACTAAGTACGGCAGGATCAAATATCATTAACGTTGAGTAACGACTGTTAATAAAGATACGGTTATGAACTAGAACCTATTAATATAATGACTGTTTAAACATAAATAACTCACCATAACAGGTTAAACACTGGTGGGTACATGCATCATTGTATGTGCTCTCAGCCATGTCGTGAAGGGAGTGTATTATATTTCTTACCTCAGTGCAGGGTTGACCTCGCCTTTAAGAAGTAGATGAGGGAACACCTGCTGTCTTAGACGTCTTCGGCGTCTCGAAGTCCCTCCATTGAAGAGTCTTGAAACAGTGACGGCTCTCTTGCTGTTGTAGCAGGCTACGCAGTGTTGTTGTTAGTCAGTGCAGGTCACCAAAGATCATCGCTGTTTACTCTGTGCACGCAAGACGTAACACCTGTTGTTTTGACGTTGTCCCGTAGATCCTAGCCTAACAACTTTTCAAAATTGCAGCTATTCACACGAGGTTCTTCAAATGTTACGAGAAATGGAGAGAGCTAACCAGTACTCAGATAGTTCCAGATTCACCTGCACAGGAGGCAGCCATTCTTGTCTGTGTTGAACAGTCTCTAAATCATTGACAGAGCCCGTCGTTCCATGCATCCAGAGGTACCCGTGCGTTCCGGTGACGCGTGCTTCCGGGTAGCTCTAAGCACCTGTAGCTGCTCAATGGTCTCTTATGTGCTTTGACGTCTGCATAGAACTACGCTAATGAAGTTCCTCCCGCGTTCACCGTGCTAGGCGACGAAAACCTGTACCTGCGGCCAGGGCGTACGCAAACACGCAAACAAGGGTGGGAATATCCTGAGTTCCCAGAACACAGCCCAACCCACCAGCCACTACGGTAAGTACGGCCGTGACACAGCGTGGCTGTTCGATCTGTTTCAAGCACGGAAACCGCGCCTAGGCCCTTACTCTCAGGGCTTAGGGGCAGGGCCTACATAAAACAAATTATCGGTTTGAGTCACTGTTGTTTTAAGATAGGCGTGGCGATCTAATATTATAACGCCTACAATGTGCAGTGCAATGGACCTTGACAATGGATTTACTCATAGCCTAAATGGTGGGATACGGAGATCATGATAAAAACGGCCGGATACGTGGTGCCAGCGATAAGAAGTAAAGCAAAACAATAAATTTCCGCTTCTCAAGAGCTTTGGCGGTGGACATTCCCTGAGGTTCATAAAGCTAGCTGCGGGGGCGTTATGCCAAGCATGTGCACGATATAACAGGCCATCTTGCCGCTACTTTATATCAAATCCTTGCGGTCTGCAAAGAAGCTTTACCTTGGGTGCCGTAGTCTTCACAAAAATCCGATGTGGGTTGAAACGATCGTTCAACAGAGTCTACGTCAAAGCTGTTGCATAATAAGATATGAAATGTTATATACGGGGTGTTATTTTTCTCGTCACCATTTTTCTTTCGGTTGCTACGAACGGTAATTGTAGTTGAACAGTCACTGACGCAATTTGACTGTAGGGATCCGGACGTTGAAATGCCATCCTGTGGTAAACATAGGAACTCCCGCCGTACGATGATTTCAATCACAGTCCACAACTACAGACAAGATGGGGGCAGGGTTTCGTCTGGCTCAGTCAATCAGAACACTAGATAAGCGGTAAGTTTAGATTTATTTGCGACGATAGCATGCGCTTGGTCGCATTTTAAACGAAAAAATTGCCATTTTACGTACGTTTTGAGCTACAAGGTTAAAATAAAGATACTGCTCTCCAATTTCTAACAGATAGATGTCTTTCTTGGTGGCATGCAATAAACTACAAATTTTGAGCTCTAACTCTTTATAGAAATAAAATCTAACATTATATTATCCTGTTCCGTTTTAAGTTTTAAGCCTCTATGACATAAGACGAGACAGAAACAATCAGCTATTAGACACATTCAATCCATTCATTCAGGGTTTACAGTTGGTATTCATTAACGGAACGCAAGAATTTTTTTTCATACTACAAGTTATATTAATTTTGTACCTTTCAGGCGTAGCCAGTGGCGTAATTATATAAACTGATAAACGCTCAAAGGTCAGCGTATGAACTTCTGACATTTACATAAACCGCCCAGACCGGCGGTATCTACACACCAGCTAGCCACCAGACAGCTGAACTGTCGGAAAGGTCGTTCCACTTCAAAAGTTTGCCGTATGTCTCAGGATCATACTTTGTGCAAACACAGGCCCCCCCTCCCGTTATTATATCAAAATGGTGAACTTTCAGATGAATCAAATCGGCGTATGCCTGAGTACTATACTCTTAACAGATGTTACGAAAAAAATTAAATGTCAAACTATATACTCCAGGTGATTCTTTCTGTCGTACCCTCAATGTTGTGACTGGAAGGGTCTTTTTTCAGTAAGCAGCCCTCATTTTTATGGAAGAAAGTCACTTGTTATGATGCAAAAAACGGACGAGTTTGGGACCGCAACACCACCCTATGGCAAGAAGGAAGCCGTGCCCGAAGGGCTACCAAAACATGTGCCATAATTAGGATAATAGATAATTTTGATTGCCATTCTTTGGCATGAAATGACACTTATTTGTACGTTCTGACAGCCTTTGTTTCTGCCGCCGGTAAGTTAAGCAGGTGGTATCATTGTTAAGATAATTGGTGCTTTGGGATGCCGTTTTTGACATGTAATGAAATAATGATTTAAAACATGTGCTATCATTAAACTAATGGACCCTTTGCAGCAAAAGTAGTTTGTGTTTTGAAGGTAGAATGTCTGATGTAAAACATGTTTGTACCTGTAATGGTCGTAACGTGTAGGCGATTGTAGCTACACCTTTGTGGGTAATCAGGGTGTTGACCTTACGCCAAGGGCTGATGTTGACCTAAGGTCAAAGGTTACTTGCTAACGCTAAGCTTCGTCGCTACCAAAGCGACTAGATTTACTTCAATATTTCCTCTGAACTAACCAACTCAGGGGGAAGTCTCTGAGATCAGTAAGTATTTTAGGTATTTCCAAGTACATCTAGCAATGTACTTACCCTTTATGTTCAAATGTATTGACATGACGCCCGCATATCCTGAACAAAATTTCGATGTAGCTTTGCCCCCCTCCCCACTTTCATCACAAGTTCCCGTTTAGTATTCTATGAAACAGCGTGACAATAACACTGCCTGCCAACATGCACAAGGTAACGTTATAACATTAGAACAAAATGAAATCCTGATTTTTCTCCAATAGTACTGTCACAATGTAGCATCATGTGTCATATAAGGTAAGGCAATGTAGTGTAAATTTACATGTAAGGTAATGCTGTATAACATATGCTGTGCATTAACATACATGCATCATATGCCAAAGAAAAACATAGATTAATACTAATGTTAGAAACAACAGGCAATTTATAAAAGTATTCTTGCCAACTACAGGTGCCCCTCCAGGCTTTACTACAGGGCTGACACTATGACATCTAAAATGAAGCGCACATACAACTACCCAGCCCTCTCCTCCAAACTACAACATCACCTCAACATGCAAAGAAAAACGGGACAATTTTGTGACGTCACGTTGAAACTCCCGGACGCAGAGTTCCACGTGCACCGGTGTGTGTTCGCCACCTTCTCTCCGTACTTTGCATCACTACCTAACGCGGGAACCAGAGCCATTGTTGAACTCACGACTCTCACGAAGGCGGGGGTTGAACCCCTTGTTGAGATGATGTACACATCCAAGTTAACGCTAACAGAGGACAATATCTATTACGTTTCGTACGCAGCCGGGTACTTTCACATCGACGAAACAGCACAGAACTGTCAAAACTTCCTCAGGGAATTACAGGGGAAACAGTTGAGTCGAGAAAAGGGTGATGGAACTAGTGATAATCAGACTCTGGTTAGGGTTAGGGGTTCAAGTTCGTCTGAGGACCTTGGCGGTGGCGATGTTGTGTTCTCCCCAACAACGCACGGTCAGGAAGAAGTCACAACGACTCAAGAAAGTTCGGACACTCCTGACGTTATTGTGAAGGAGGAGCCAACAGATCCGCCTCACCCAGTAACAGTCTGGAACATTGACGACAACCAAAGGGACAGTGGTTACGTCGACGCACCACAGAACCTACAAGCACACAGCTACCCACAACTTCAGCACAGTAGTCCTCTCATGACATCATCACCCAACACATACCTCCTACCAAGTCAGGACAGCACTCTACACTACCAGAGCTCCATGGAGTGGCATGTGGATGGTAACACAGCTCTGTCTAACGCAAACCAAACTGGCGAGTTTGCATTCAGCGATAACCAAGGCTCACAGGAACTGTTCAACTGCACGGTGTGCCCGCTGTCGTTTACGAAGCTGTCTACTTTAAAGCGCCACCTGTCGACTCACGCGGGACAGCAGCCTTACCAGTGCAGCATCTGCTCCACAAGGTGTTTTTTAAATATCTTTATTACAATGAAAACATACAGCAATAAAAATAACATAACATTTACGTGTGATACAGTGACAAATTAGTATCTAAAATCATATACATGTACAAGATTAAATCAGTTGTGTGACTTCTGGTACGTAAAGTATCTAGTTTCGTCATTAAATATGGTGGCAAGTGCCTTTCGAATTCCGCTCCCATCATTCCTTGCCATCCTATTACACCATCTATAATTCCAGATTACAAATTTTGCAATGTTAATGATAATTGATGTTTTTAACTGTGTTGGACATATTTGATAAATGCGTCCTGTAGCCAAATACTATAATATCAAAGCTGATTGTAACATTACGTCTGTTCTACAAGGTTCCGCCGGATTTCCTACCTGAAGAACCACATGATCATCCACACGGGGGAGAAGCCCTTTAAGTGTAACGTCTGTGGCTCCAAGTTCTCCCAGCGGGCGACGTTGTTCCGCCACCGCGCCGTGCACAACAAGGAACGGCCGCACCAGTGTTCGGTGTGCTCCCTGAAGTTCAACCAGCGATCCAGTCTCGTACGCCACATGCTGTCCCATAATGTAGAGAAACCGTTCTCCTGTACCCATTGTCAGGACAGTTTCACCAGTGAAGAAACTTTGAAAGAACATATCATTAAAGTCCATATCGGGGACTTTTCCTTTGAAGTCAACCCAGCAGAACAAACCCAAAGTTTCAACAGCCAAGATCAGGTCCCATCTACTAGTCATGAAAACACTTTAACAAGTTGAAGAAAAAATGAATCTTGGATATGGATGTTGATAATGTCAAGTAGAATTTAGAATGTTGTTTCCTAGTTAATTTTTTTTTGTTGTTGTTAGGTAATTTCTTAAATCTAAATTGTATGGTTTGAATTTTAGCCCTGAATATCTGTGTGAATGTGAGTTTTCATCTGATGACAGTTCACAGATACTTTTTAGTGTGACTTGTCATCAACATGTTGCAGTACGTTTCTATCTGTAGGATCTTGTTTTTGAACTGAAGGGCATATGTTGTACTAAGTATTTTGTAGGGCTCCTATTGCAATGGTGCCCCCTGTCGGGCCTCTTTTGCATTGCAAGCAGGAAAACCTGCAGGCTTTGTGAGAAAGTGTAATGTTGGCCCAGTAAAAACTGCTGATGTTGGAGTACTAATATATAAATAGTTTCTGAAACTTTCTTTTTCTTGAATGTCAACACCATACAATGAGTTGACAAATTCAAATTATGTCCATATCTAGTTCTATTCGCAAATGGCGCAAATACAAAAGCTTGGCGAGTTGAACAACACAGTTACGTGTTGTGCGTGCACGAAGGCAATTCAGCACAATGTTATCTAATCTAAATTAGCAGCGTTTCGTTATGTTTTCTGACCTTTTACCCTTTGTGGCTGTTAGATCAACACAGGTAACTCAGAATACCGCTGTTGAAAGGTAAGAAAGATGAAAGGTTATGTCCCTACCCCCTCCAAGCCAGCATTTTGCGCGCTCGTAAGTTTTGCCTTACCGAAAGGGCTGGTTAACTGGCACGGTAAACTGTAAAACCACCACCTACAGTTTGTACTTAATGGTACAGCCTGGCGTTTCAAAACACCTCAAGAGATCCTTGAGGAATGAGTCAACATGGATCTTTCCGCAACAACACGTCATCGGGGTTTCTCACGGGTGCTCGGCTAACCCTGGAGCCTGTAGCAGGTTAGAACTGACGGGATGTCGCGAGTCGCTTTTTTCACCTGGTGCGTTGTGACAGCTCTGGTCAGTTTAAGGGCAAGAGGTAAGGATCTTCTTCTCTGACTTAAACCACACGTTGAGCCTGTTAACGTTGTTTATGTAGGTAGGTAGACTTCACTTGTGCTGTCTTCATGTCCCTGGTCCCTATACCTTCCTATCCACTGTGCACGTAAACTGATGTATACAGCCATTTTACTCGGGTGTCCGCTTCGGGTCAAGGTTAGACAGGAACCGTACACGTTGACGTTAATGCTATCGGATTATCAAGTCACGCCACTTTCCCATCGTAAAGCAAGCACACAGAATGTCATAAAACTGTGTGACGTTATATAAGCGTGCACTGCCGTGCAGTGATGTTTAAACTTTGACACAGACCTAAGGTCAGTTTGGACTTCTCTGACTTCTCCGAAGATCTGGTCCGGTGTAATGATACTAGCTATAGGAACAGTACTTGTGTCATGTGCACCTTTTTCAAGCGAACTAATCAGGTGACACCATTAAAGTGTTAGCCAACACAGCACTATCTAAATCTACCAACAATAGAGGATACGTATACTAGTATTTATTACTCGCCAACGCATTCTGCGTATGTAACAAAAAAAAAACATCCATGCCTTATAAAATAAAAAGGCCCAGGAAGAAGAATAGGTCACTTCCTCCTCACCTCACCTCACCGGTCCCATAGCAGTCTGTCCTGCCGTCGGGGCAACTAAACTGTCCACAAGAGTTATCCACCCAGGGCGGTTCTCAGCCAGACTTGTCAGGTGACTCAGGGGATGTCCTGTCCATTCCTTAAGGTCACTTCACTTGGAGTTAAAACACGACGTCTGTTTTGAGTTGATAGAAAACGAGTCACGTAGCTACAGGATGTGAGGGAAGTGATCCAAAACCGCGGAGTGATTCAACTTTCGGCGCCCAAGGCAACAGTTCCGATCTTTTATTGGAATCTCGCGTGAGAACTGTACCGAGATGTTAACACTGTTGTTGATAATCTTCCGTTCGGGTAATAGATGACAGGTTTTGTGTCGTTAACGTGGAGTCATGGGCTAAAATTGGTGTCATACGTGTTAGAGAAAATGCCAAGGGCTAGTTTGTGTTAGCTAGCCTACCATACCGACAAAGGACCAATAGCAGAATAGAATCGAACAAATTTATAAAAATCTGAAGCCTAATACCTTATACAAAACCTCTGATTCTCAAACAGTAATTTCCGATGTGCTTTACTGGTGTAATTTTTGTTTGTTTGGTGTGCTTTTATCTTAATAGATTTCATGCTTTTTCCCCTCATAGTTGCCCTTTCCCAATTAACTTTCTGATTGCTTCCTGTTATCCCTAGGTGAGACAGTTTGCTATCCTGAGCTGGACTGTTTCTCGACTGAAGGTGGTTTCGTGGATAGACTCCCGGCGGAGCCAGCCACCATCAACACACAGTTTCTCCTCTTCACCAGGAACAGTCCTTATGACGAACAGTACCTTAGGCACGTCACTCTTCGGGAGTCACACTTTAACAGGTGTATAACAGCTGCTCTTTACGCAGTTTTAAAGCGCGCGTAAAGGTTCCGTTTTGTCGCGTTTTAGGTTTCTTTGTATGATACTTAAAGCAATATCTTAGCACCGTTTAGGACGTTTAATGCCTTATAAGGTTATACTTACACAAAGGTTACTTTGTGTGCCGTTTTCCATGTATGTACTGATTATACAGATAAAGTTATAAGATCTTATCATTGTCTCAAAGTTGCAAGATTTTTTTCTCAGGCGTGTCAAACTGCTTTCTAGAGAAAAATGCTGAGGAAACCTAAGTTTCTTAAATATCTACTTTGCTTTCTACCTTTAGTTCAAAGGACACAAAGTTCCTGGTACACGGCTACATGGACGACAGGACAGAGGAGTGGCTGGTCATGGCCACGGACGCCATCTTGGATCGTGATGACGTCAATGTCGTCGTCGTGGACTGGGGAGGAGGGGCGATGGAGATGGACTACCCACAAGTCGCCGCGAACGCTCGTGTGGTCGGCGCGGAGCTGGCAAGATTCATATCTTTCCTTATAGTAAGACTAATTCTTAACGTTTAACGTGTATTTGATTAAAATAGTATGTACTTCCCTGCAATGCAGTATTCGTCAAACATAAACTATTTCATGACACTATGTCCAAAAGTTTCGTTTTACTGAAAACTCAAACTTTCTTTCTTTTTCTTCTGTGTTTTTATTTTTAAAGGAAGACCTTGGCGTTAGCAGCCGTTCTATCCACATCATTGGCCACAGCTTGGGTGCTCATATTGCGGGTTATGCCGGGCAACGGCTGGCCAAATCCGGCTCCAAGATAGGAAGAATCACTGGTAAGAGTTTACATAGTCTTATTTCTTTGTACACAATACACACTCTTCCAACTTTGTTTCTACATTTATTTCCAGCTCATCTATCTTGCTCAACTTTCCAGGTAAAAAGTTTTAGTCTCAGAATATTTTTATCTGGCGAGTGGTACTTCTATAGTTTACACAAGGTACACAATTAGTAGAATATACATCAACCAGTGAATGTTATGAAAGGTAGAAAACACGTACCTCCAAATTTTCGATGTCTTCTGTACATCTTGATCACGGACTTGATGACGAGTGTTAAAAGTAGACATGTCTCTATCTACCTATTCCAGCTCTGGACCCAGCAGAGCCGGGTTTCCAGGGCACACCCAGGCACGTCCGGCTGGACCCGAGTGACGCCGTGTTTGTGGACGCCATTCACACGGACGGGGAGGGGGACATGGACATAGGTAAACCAGCGTGTCCGATGTGGTTTCTTTTCAAATCATTGTAGCATATGTGTAGACTGCCAAAATGGGTCTCATCATCATCGTCATCATCATCATCATAAATGTCGAAGTCTAGGTTTGATTTACCTAGCTTTGCAAGACAGATACTGAAAGTGTGAAAATGTCTCGGCGTAGTCACTAAGTAATTGTAAGACACTCTTTAGAAGATGGAAAAGGTGGAAAAGATTTAAGGTTAAACGTAGATATTTCCTTAGTTTAAAACGTATGACGGCATGTGTGATAATCCATAACATTACAAGCGATATAGAAGTTACTGTCAGCTGAAATCATTGAAATGTCTGCAAATTGTGAGACTTTATAGTGCTTTTTCCATTTCTTTTAAATTTACAAAGGCCCACTTAAATAATTTGAATATCTATTTTTCAGGCTTCGGGATGTCTGAGCCCGTCGGCCATTTGGATTTCTATCCCAACGGTGGAAGGGACCAGCCTGGATGTAGCGATAACCTGTTCAACTCCATCTGGGCCCACGGGCTGTATCACGGTAAGACATGGGGACAGCGGGTATAAGTACTGATAAGGCCAAATACTATCAACACATTTTCATGTTCAACTATCTCGTACTCTTCTTCCTCGATCTTCCTTTAATGTCCATGATCACGACAATGATAATTCTGGCATACTCATTTTCACCTGGATGAAGTGAGGAAAGTCGTGTGAATTGCCTTTCCCTATAGCACAAGATCGGTGACATGGCAGGATTCGAACCCAGTACCTCTTGGTTCTGAGCCCAATTATCTGCTGTTACGACCCTACGTCTACTATAATACTAATTATAAGGCATGTTGAATGGTAATAGAAGGTCAAATAATTGTTTGATGCCCTCTTATCTCAGCAAAAAAGGTAGTCCCACCAAATATATATAATTCATGCTTCAACTTAAGATATAGTTACATGTTCTCAATTTCGCACCTCCGAATTCTATAGGCGGGAAAAACTTCGTCACGTGTAACCACAAGCGCGCCCACCGCCTGTTCGTGGAGTCTGTCCGCTCGGCCTGCCCGTGGCGCGGCTACCCGTGCTCGGGGAGGGACGCGTTCCGGCGGGGGGACTGTCTGTCGTGCGGCGCCACCGGCTGCTACAAGATGGGGTACGACGCCGTCGAAAAGACGCCCCCTAGCGGAACTGAGCTAGTCAAGTTGTACCTCACAACCGAAGGCCAGGAACCATACTGTCGTGAGTCTTAATTTCCCTACCTACCAAAGTGCTTAGGCCTTTAACTGGCCGCAGGCTGTACGGTCCCTGGCCCTATCTTCGGCATCTCTTAGAGTCCGGAGTCCTTCTCTTTTTGGAGTATCAATCTTTTTCTATAGACATGCATTTGGTATTTCAAACGTTGTCGAGAAATAATTCGATGTTGCTTTGATTCCAAGCTGTACGGACTCTTGAACAGTAATGAACTGTGTTCTACTTACTTTTCCAGATCGGAACGAATACAGAGTGGAAATAATCCTGTCCATGAAAGGAAAAGGA